TTTGGGTCATGATCTTGTGGTTTGTGAGTTCGAGCCCCGCGTCGGGCTCTGTGCTGACAGTTCAGAGCCTGGAGCCTGTTTTGGATTCTGTGTCTCCCTTTCTCTCTGCCCCTCCCCCGCTTGTGCGTGTGCTCTCTCTCTCACTCTCTCTCTGTCTCTCAAAAATGTATAAATGCAAAAATTGAAAAACACCCCAGATTCCAAGACAAAGTGGGTATCTCCAGTCCCCCTTGACGGCCGTGGGGCCCAGGTGTGGGCGGAGGTGCCGTGTGGGCCTCAACGTGCAGGCTGCAGATTGGTCCTTTGCAAGTGAATTTCTGTTACCTCCTTTGATCCAGGTTGATCCATATTTAGATCCATCAAAATGCTATGTATAGGTGGTTCTTTCTGGTCGTTTGGCTTGTGGGAGTAATATTTTTGTTTCTATACTGTTCCGTATGAATTGCTTTTGTAATCAGAAAACGATTTTTTTTAGAGTGTGAATTTGGCTGGAGACGTAGTAAATTTAAGAAATCCGAAAAGTGAGCACAGTCTGTGGTCCGGGCATCGAGCTAAGTGCTGAAAAGGCAGAGTTAAGTAAGACATTGTCTTCCATTGGCCAGACTAATATAATTCAGTGTGACAGATGCCATGGGGATGCAGGAAAGGGAGACGTGCTGAATGGTCAGATCACCGTGCGGAAGTGATCATCTCGTCTTCTGTCCTTTGTTTCCCCCCTACCCCCGCTCCAGGTACCGCTGGCTGCCCAGCAGGAGAGGAGGGGTGTCAGGATTCGGTGTGCCCCCCGCCAGCATGAGGCGGGCTGCTGATCAGAATGGCGGAGGTGGGAGACACAACTGGGGACAGGGCTTTCGGCTTGGAGACCAGTGAAGCAGCGGCCTCTGGCCTGCCCACCAGCCACTCTGCTCAGATGAAGTCTCCTCCCAGTGCTGGGCGTGCTTAACCACCGAGTTCTAGCAAACGCTGTTGGACCTGACCCACACTGAATGTAGTCTTTCAGTACAAGACACAATTTTTTAAGACCTGAAGAAAAATATAAGTGTTCCTCAAGTTTCGTGATTTTCATTCAAGTCCTTACTGCTACGAAGAACAAATATCAACTGTGCAAATTTCAGAACTGACTCTCTTTTTTGGTGTCTTCTCTTCCTTTTCTGTCTCAATAACGGGTTTTGGCAGGTCCTGGTCTGCTGGCACCAAACTGGGAATCTGGGGTTGGGTCACTAAACCCTTGGCAAAGGGACTCTTACCTCTTTCTTGCACACCTGCCTCCCTCCTTCTTTTTCCAACCCCCACGTTTGCAGCTGGGGGAGGTTGCCCCTGAGATGGTTCTGCCTTTGACAAGCTCTCTTATTTATTGACTTTTGCCAAGGCTTGGGCTCAAAGAACTTGTCCACCATTTTCTCCCCTTGGTGGCAGAACTATAACAATAGGGGAAAAGACTGGACCAGCGGTTGGAGAGCTTTCTCTTTTGGAATTGCTGGGACCCGATGTCAGTTGTGACCATTTGCCACTGCTACAGGTGTTTTTTATTAAAAAAAAAACAGCACCACTAGGCCATGAGGACACAGATTGGTGTTAATGAGGCATAGGTTGTTGCTAGGCATTTTCTTCCTTAAGCGAGGGGATCACAACTTCAGTGGAGCTGCGTCTTGCACGGGGCCTAGGTGCAAACTGTGTGAGGGATAGTCCCTTTGCATCTCATGTAGGGCATGCTGGCTTTGCGTGTCCCTGGAGTAGTGGGGTGTGTTGTGCTAGGAAATTCCAAATCACACGTGCCCCGGGGAGTCGCTCTCTTTGAGAGGCACCTGGGCATCGGTTCCATTTCATTCTCATTCTGGATATATGTTTATTGAATAGTGTGGAGTGAGAACCTTATACCCTATTTAAATTGTCTTTTTTTTTTTTTTGCCTCTCCCGCCACCTTGAATGGCCACATGCTTCAGTTAATGGTGAGGACACAGTTCCTCTGTACATAGGTCATATTATAAGAGCTAATATAAGCACATCTAAGTGAATCACATAATTTTGGGTTGTAATGGCTTTAGAATCACTTGTGTTTGAGGGTCTTTATTTTGAGCCATGAATGTAGAAGTCATGAATGTACATCAGACCAGCTTAAATACCCACAACTTTTTTTTTCCCCCGTAGGGGCTTTTTCCATCAGAGCTAGGCTTATCCCCCAATAAAGTTTTTTGAAGGCTATGGTGTTTCACAGTTTCTTATTTTCTGTTTTTATTCTGAAAGCAGACGGCTAGGCCTAGGAGCAGTGTTGAGTGGTTTGGCTTTGAACATTTTGATTGGTTTCTTCTCAGGAAACACTGTGCTCTACCAGTGTGACCGTGCTTTGCCCCACCCTTAAAACAGTGACGTGTGTGACACTAGGAAGTGGGGACCTGAAAGCAGCTTGGTTTTAATAAAATTTGTGTGTACCTCTCCTTATTTAATTTACACGATAAAGGAGGCGGAGAGACTCTGAACCTTAACTGTCGTGTGTTTGTGCTGTTGACCTGTGGCCACAATAAAATTTACTTGTAAACTTTAAAAGCCATTATTCCTGTTATGTCACATGTGCCCTCATTGTACAGGAGTGGAAACTCATTGTAAGCGTAAGAAGATTCTCATGACGAGTGAGCTCGAGGCCCTTGTACATGCTCTCTTAGCAATTCAGCTGCCTGAGAGCAGTCGTTTCGGTAAAGGTTACAAGTATTCTTTAGAATACCTTCGTTCAAGGCAGAATGTTCATTAAATTCTTCTTAAACACGTGTAAAGAGCTGATGATTTTATGAATCTTGTCTGGATTACCTATCTTTTTGGAATAATTCAGCTAAGCAAGCTAGTTGAGATTTGATTTGGCCAGGCAGGACATACAGTGGATTCTCTTTATGAGTGGGGAAAAAAAAATCCTTATTTTGTATAGAGAACTTCCCCTTTTGTAACTAATTCTTTTTATTGGTAAAAATTGTAAATTAAAATGTACAACTTGACGGTCGTCTGTCTGAAGTTTCCATATACCTACCCTGCTGCCTCTTTTAGACACTACCTAATTTACGTGATCAGGCATTTCTCGGGCCTGTAGGAGTGTCCAGGGTTTTTTGCAATCACAGCAATGCAGCATGTTTTAGGGGACTAGCTCATGTGTTGGGACTAGCTGTAGGATTCATTCCCGGAAGCACAGTTTCTGGGTTTTGGTTGGAATGAAGCAGCGTGCTTCCGAACACTGAGTTGGGCGCCCCATCCAGTTGTGGTGTGCCTTACGGCATTTCTGTAGCCTGCAGGTCTGACTCCTGGAACCCTACGGAATTAACCAGATAAGAACCTAGAGCCTGGAAGGCAGAGGCCATGATGTTACTGAGCCTTTTTTTTCTTGAGCTTGAACCAGCCAGCCTTTTAGGTAGGCTCTCATCATTCATCACCAGGTGGGGTGACAGGAAGGAGCGCTGCCCCCCTCTTCTGGCATTGGAGAAATAGCAGAAAGCTAGAAAGGAATGATCCTGCTTTTTAAAAGAAAAAAAAATGTTTTTTAAACATTCATTTTTGAGAGACCGCACAAGCAGGGTGGGGCAGAGAGAGAGAGGGAGACAGAATCCGAAGCAGGCTCCAGGCTCTGAGCTGTCAGCACAGAGCCCGATGCAGGGCTCGAACTCACAGACCCCGAGATCATGACCTGAGCTGAAGTCCGATGCTTAACCGACTGAGCCACCCAGGCACCCTGATCCTGCTTATTTCGGGGGGACAGTATATCGCCAGTATCCCCGTGTTCTGAGCTGCTTTGAGGAACACTGACTGAACAGGTGATGTGGTTGCCAACCCTTCATTCATTACAACTCTGTTTCTGAGGTCCCTTCCCCTTAACATTTCCAGCATTAACTAAATAACAAAGCTTAACCTTGGGAAACCTCTAATCCTCTGTTTGGACTTCATACCTTAGTATCTCCAAAGGCTGGGCTGAGAAAACAAGTGCTTCCTGGCAGTTTACTTGTTTGCTTTTCACTCCGAGTGGCTCTGGTGATTGCAAGTGCAATTTAGGGGAGAGTATCCTGCCATGCGATTCCTTCCATGTATGGCGAAAGCCCAGAATGACTCTCCATGTGCTCCCCTTATCCTCACGACTCCGTTAGGGTAGAACCCTATTTCCAGAAACACAACCGGCTGCTGAATGTGACTGGTACTTTCTGGATCATTTAATGTAAGCCTCCAATCTATGGTTTCCAATGTGGCTGTACCGGAGAATCACTTGGGATTTTTAAGGCTGCAGATTTCTTGCATTGCTTCCATTCTGTATGTTTTTAAAGTTCCCAGTGATTCTGTATTTCGGTTGGGCTTGGGAACAACCTTGGGAAATAGATAGCATTATTCCCATTTCTCAGGTAAGGAAACTTAAGACTCGGGGCGCCTGGGTGGCGCAGTCGGTTAAGCGTCCGACTTCAGCCAGGTCACGATCTCGCTGTCTGTGAGTTCGAGCCCCGCGTTGGGCTCTGGGCTGATGGCTCAGAGCCTGGAGCCTGTTTCCGATTCTGTGTCTCTCTCTCTCTCTGCCCCTCGCCCGTTCATGCTCTGTCTCTCTCTGTCCCAAAAATAAATAAACGTTGAAAAAAAAATTAAAAAAAAAAAATTAAAAAAAAAAGACTCAGCGTGGTTAAGTCACTTAAGACCAAGCAGCTACAAGGCACCAAAAACAAGGCATGAACCCAGCTCTGAGTTAAGATCTCAGCTGCTGCGTTGCAGTTGAGGAAGCCAAAGGTCAGAATCTGGCATTAAGTGGCAAAAAAAGATTGTTTTCTTGCCAGGCTAAAGGCAGGCCAGAACGTTTGGAAACTTCAGTTGAAGGTATAAATTAGCTTCCTATCATCCCTGGGGGGATTGCCTTGTGGCTTGGAAAGGGGAAAAATTATATATATATATATATATATATATATATATAT